CAATATACAGAGACAAATGACAACAATAATTCAACACCACAAAAATCTGTGGGATACAGCGAAGGCCGTACTAAGAGGGAAATATATTGCAATACAGGCTTACCTCACGAAAAAAGAACAATGCCATATGAACAGTCTAAACTCACAATGAATGAAACTAGAAAAAGAAGAACAAACGAGGCCCAAAGTCAGTAGAAGGGGAGTCATAATAAAGTTCAGAGCAGAAATAAATAAAATCGAGAAGAGTAAAACAATAGAAAGAATCAATGAAAGCAGGAGCTGGTTCTTTGAGATAATTAACAAAATAGACAAACCCCTAGCCAGACTTATCAAGAAAAAAAGTCTACATACATAAACAGAATCAGAAATGAGAATGGAAAAATCACTATGGATAACACAGAAATAAAAGAATTATTAGACAATATTATGAAAAATTATATGCTAACAAACTGGATAACCTAGAAGAAATGGATAACTTTCTAGAAAAATACAACCTTCTAAGGCTGACCCAGGAACAGAAAATCTGAACAGACCAATTACCAGCAAAAAAACTGAATTGGTAATCAAAAAACTACCTAAGAACAAAACCCCTGTACTCACATATGTAGGTACCACTGTATTTTATCAAACATTTAGTGAAGACCTAACACCCATCCTCCTTAAAGTTTTCCAAAAAGTACAAGAGAAGGGTATACTTCCAAACTCATTCTATGAGGCCAGCATCACTCTAATACCAGAACCAGGCAAAGACACCAAAAAAAAGAAAATTATAGACCAATATTCTGGATGAACATAGATGCAAAAATACTCAACAAAATATTAGCAAACCAAATTCAAAAATACATCAAAAATATCATCCATCACGATCAAGTAGGATTTAATCCAGGGATGCCAGGATGGTACAATATTCGAAAATCCATCAACATCATCCACCACATCAACAAAAAGAAGGACAAAAACTACATGATCATCTCAATAGATGCTGAAAAAGCATTCAACAAAATTCAACATCCAATCATGATAAGAACTCGCAACAAAATGGGTATAGAGGGCAAGCACCTCAACATACTAAAGGCCATATATGACAAACCCACAGCCAACATCATACTTAACAGCGAGAAGCTAAAAGCTTTTCCTTTAAGATCTGGAACAAGACAAGGATGCCCACTCTCCCGACTTTTATTCAACAGTTCTGGAGATCCCAGCCATGGCAATAAGACAACACAAAGAAATAAAAAGCATCCAGATTGGTAAAGAAGAAGTTAAACTGTCACTCCTTGCAGAAGACATAATATTGTACATAAAAGTCCCAAAAGAATACACCCAAAAACTACTAGAACTAATAACTGAATTCAGCAAAGTTGCAGGATACAAAATTAATACATAGCAATCTGTTGCATTCCTATGTACTAACAATGAACTAGAAGAAAGAGAAATCAAGAAAACAATTCCTTTCACAACTGCATCAAAAAGAATAAAATACCTAGGAATAAACCTAACCAAGGAAGTGAAAGACCATACCCTGAAAACTACAAGACACTCATGAAGGAAATTAAAGAAGATACCAATAAATGGAAATACATCCCATGCTCATGGATAGGAAGAATTCATATTATCAAAATGGCCATCCTGCCTAAAGCAATCTAAAGATTCAATGTAATCCCTATCAAAATACCAATGGCATTCTTCAATGAATTTGAGCAAATAGTTGTAAAATTCATATGGAACCGCAAAAGACCCTGAATAGCCAAAGCAACCCTGAGACGGAATAAAGCTGGGGGGATTACGCTCCCCAACTTCAAGCTCTACTACAAAGCCACAGTAATCAAGACAATTTGGTGCTGGCACAAGAACAGACCCATAGATCAATTTAACAGAAAAGAGAGCCCAGATAGAAACCCAAGCATATATGATAAAGGAGCCATGGATATACAGTGGGGAAATGACAGCTTCTTCAACAGCTGGTGTTGGCAAAACTGGACAGCTACATATAAGAGAATGAAACTGGATTATTGTTCAACTTCATACACAAAAGTGAACTCAAAATGGATTGAAGACCTGAATGTAAGTCATGAAACCATAAAACTCTTATAAGAAAACATAGGCAGAAATCTCCTGAATATAAACAGAGCAACTTTTGGTGACTCTGTGGCATCTTAGCACACTGATGGACAGTGATGGCAATAGGGTGCAGGGGGGACTCGATAATACGGGTGAATGTAGTAACCACATTGTTTTTCTTGTGAAACCTTCGTAAGAGTATATATCAATGATACCTTAATAAAATATATATATATATTTTTAATTTAAAAATAAATAAACATGAGCAACTTTTTCCCGAATGCATCTCAGACAAGGGAAACAAAAGCAAAAATGAACAAATGGGACTATATCAAACTAAAAAGCTTCTGTACAGCAAAGGACACCATCAGTAGAACAAAAAGGCATCCTACAGTATGGGAGAATAAATTTGTAAATGACAGATCCGACAAGGGATTAACATCCAAAATATATAAAGAACTCACACACTTCAACACCCAAAAAGCAAATAACCCGATCAAAAAATGAGCAGAAGATATGAAGAGACAGTTCTCCAAAGAAGAAATTCAGATGGCCAACAGACACATGAAAAGATGCTCCACATCACTAATCATCAGGGAAAGGCAAATTAAAACTACAATGAGATATCTCCTCACATCAGTAAGGATGGCCAGCATCGAAAAGACTAAGAACAACAAATGCTGGCATGGCAAAGATGCGGAGAAAGGGAAACCCTCCTACACTGCTGGTGGGAATGTAAGCTAGTTCAACCATCGTGGAAAGCAATATGGAGGTTCCTCAGAAAACTAAAAATAGAAATACCATTTGACCCGGGTATCCCACTCCTTGGAATTTACCCAAAGAATACAAAGAATTCTCAGATTCAAAAAGACATATGCATCCCTATGTTTATTGCAGCACTTTTTACAATAGCCAAGATATGGAAGCAACCTAAGTGTCCATCAGTAGATGAATGGATAAAGAAGATGTGGTACATATACACAATGGAATACTATTCAGCCATAAGAAAGAAACAAATCCAACCATTTGCAACAACATGGATGGAGCTGGAGGACATTATGCTCAGTGAAATAAGCCAGTTGGAGAAAGACAAGTGCCAAATGATTTCCCTCATTTGTGGAGTATAACAATGAAGCAAAACTGAAGGAACAAAATAGCAGCAGACTCAGAGACTCCAAGAAGGAACTAGTTGTTACTAAAGGGGAGAGGTGTGGGAGGGTAGGTAGGGAGGAAAAAGAGGATGGAGGGGTATTATGTTTAGTACACATGGTGTGGGGGATCACGGGGAAAATAGTGTAGCACAGAGAAGGCACATAATGAATCTGTGGCATCTTACTACACTGATGGACAGCGACTGCATTGGGGTATGGGTGGGACTTGATAATATGGGTAATTGTAGTAACCACATTGTTTTTCATGTGAAACCTTCATAAGAGTATATATCAATAATACCTTAATAAAAAATTTTAAAAAAAAAACCTCAGTGAGATACCACCTCAGACCAGTTGGGATGCAGAGAAAGAGGAATCTTCCTACACTGCTGGTGGGACTGTAAATTAGTTCAACCATTGTGAAAAGCAATATGGATATTCCTCAAAAAACTAAAAATAGAAATACCATTTGACCCAGTAATCCCACTTCTAGGAATTTACCCAAAGAAAACAAGATCTCAGATTCAAAAAGATATATGCACCTCTATGTTTATTGCAGCACTATTTACAATAGCCAAGATATGGAAGTAACCTAAGTGTCCATCAGTAAATGAATGGACAAGGAAGAAGTGGTACATATACACAATGGAATACTATTCAGCCATAAGAAGAAAACAAATCCTACCATTTGCAACAACATGGATGGAGCTAGAGGGTATTATGCTCAGTGAAACAAGCCAGGTGGAGAAAGACAAGTACCAAATGATTTCCCTCATTTGTGGAATAAAACAACAAAGCAAAACTGAAGGAACAGAACAGCAGCAGACTCACAGACTCCAAGAAGAGACTAGCGGTTACCAAAGGGGAGGGGTTGTGGAGGGGTGGGGAAGGGTGAGTGGGTAGGGAGGGAGAAGGGGATTGAGGGGTATTATGATTAGTACATATGGTGTGTGGTGGGGGGTGGTCATGGGGAAGACAGTGTAGCACAGAGAAGACAAGTAGTGACTCTGTGGCATCTTACTACACTGATGGACAGTAACCTCAGTGGGGTATGGGGTGTGGGAGGAGTTGATATGCATGAAACATAGTAATGACCACAATGTTTTTTATGTGAAACCTTCCTAAGAGTGTATATCAGTGACACCTTAATAAAAAAAGAAAAGACACAGAGTTGCTGGCTTCAAAGTTCTGAAGTGCTATTCTGGTACAGTTGAAGAGAGGGAGAGAGAGGTCACAGAATTTAGACAGGCAGGTAGGCATTACAGGGAACAGATTTTAGCTCAAAATGTAAGAAAGAATTTTTTAAACAAGAAATTCAATAATGGCATATGCTACCTTATAAAATAATGAGGTCTCCATTTTTAAGAAAAAGTTTTCAACCTGTCAGAACTGTTGAGTATGGTATTCTTTGTCTGGTAGGCAAAGTTTGAGTAGATGATCACATTTTCTGTGACAGTCAAGAACACTGGCCTTGAACACAGCTATTTTGACATGAAGCAAAGCACTTTACATGACTAGAAACAAATATTACAAATAAGCTATTATTCATTTCTAGAAACTTTCTTAAATGTTTCCTTGGCAAACCCCTGAGATTGTTATTTAAAAGTATTTTCTTGATTAGTCATATTATCTGGTAGATCACTGTATAAACCACTGGGAGAAAGGATTACTTTGAACTTCTATATTCTCTTATGTACTTGCTTAAAAATATTAGAATAGGTTAACCGACTTAAAAAAGTTCTTACAAAAGACTTTTTTTGTGTGAAATAATTGCGATCCAGAACTCACCAGAACAAATCTTACCAGCACCTTTATAGTCAACAGAAAATGCAGATGTGACTCCATTGGCTGCCCCCAGCTCACACATAGAAATTTGATAAGGGGGTCTCAGCTTGATTTCCATCTGCATGTCAGACAGATTTATCTTTGTTGAGAGAGACCTGGGATTATTATATCGCTGCTTGGTCCTCTGAATGAAGTTATCTATGCAAAATAAAAATAAATCCCCTTGTAGTCATTTGTTAATTAAATCATTTGAGAGTATGTTGTTTATGGACAGTATATCTTGCAGATAAACAGTTTAATTTGTTACCAAACTGTTCAAATCTGTCATAGAATATTCTAATATTATTTGTGTTTAATGATTAGTACATCATGGAATTACATTTCTCACTCTACAAATTAATAATTGTGAATAAACTAAGGTTTTAGCACTACATGACTATAAGAATATTTCTACTATTACATCCACTTCAAGGAATTACTTTGAACATTAACAAAAACAGTTTTCTTTAACTTTAAACCAGAGTCTTTAAAGGGATTCATAGCTCATAAAATACTGTCTGTCAGTAATTGCCAGTTGTGATTACATAGAACATACATAAGAAATTGCAAGTTCTTATTAACCTGTTTTCTTTTTAATGCTTATACCTTAGAATATGTTTTAACAGATAAATTTAATGAGATCAGTACAAGATTATTTCCTAAATACCCTCTAAGATACTTTCTAAATATCTACCATTTTATTTCCACCATTTACAATTTGGTTTTACCTTTTTTCCTTCTATATCAAGAGTCAAACAAATTAATGTCCATAAGCTAAATACAGCCTGTTTTTGTAAATCAAGTTTTATTAGAGTATAACTATGCTCATTCATTTATATATTGCCTATGGTTGCTTTCAAGCTACAATAGCTGGGTTGGGTAGTTGTGACAGAGACCATATGGTGTTTAAAGCCTAAAAGATGTCCTCTCCAGCAAATGTTTGCCAACCTCTGTTCTATGTTAAGCAGACCATAAAAGGTTATCACATAAACACAAAACTCTGAATCCCTGGCTTATAAATTTCTCATTGAGAGATTGTCTTCCAGGATTAACTATTTGTGCAAATAACCATAATCCCTTCCACAGTTCAAACAAAATTTTTTCTTACAAGTTCCTAAATGAAAAAGTTGCTATAATAGATAAACTATTTGTTAAATTATCCTATCAAAAGCAAGGTAGCAGAGTTTTCTGTTTTTCCCCTTGCCCCCCAGTATTAGGTAAGAAATTGCTTATGACTAGATGGAGACATGATGATGAAAAAGAAAAAAAAAATCAGTCCCTTACCAAATTCAATGAAACAGTATGGTCTGACAGCAGTATTTGTCTTCATCATGTTATAAGTAGTAATAAACTCCTTCTGAAGCTCATCCAGGAAAGAGAAGGCCAGAACATTGGGGTAATTTTCAGTGCACAACATCATGTAACTCACTCCCAGAGAGCTAATAAAACTATAGTGTAAAAAACATTGGTTTTAAAATTTCAAATGAAACCAAGGTAATATGTTGTTTCACAAGACTGGTTCTATATACATTATAAACTGCAGCTACAGTAGCAATGAGGATATTAAAATTACATATTCCAGTAAAAAAAATTAAAGAAACAAAAATATAATACTGTTTTCAGCTACAATTACAGTAGACAAAAAAATGGAACACACCTACAGAGGGACATACACTGAGGTTCCAACATTTCAGTTATTTACCACCTGGTGTAGAAAGCAGGGGAAAGAATTATACAAATATATAAGGGTACAGATAGCGTTAAGACTTAAGGTTTAACTCTTCAACCTCATGGAGCTTAACATTGTTTGAATCAAGAACTCTTCAGAGATTCTGATGCAAGTTATGCATGCTCTCATCAGGAAGATGTCCAAACAACACAGAACTTGGCACACAATTTCAGGGTGATTACCAACCTCCTAAAGTCATCCACTGACCCCAGAATCAAATCCCCTACTTCAAATAATAATGAATTATGGGCTACTGGGGGTAAAAAGAGGAACTTAACAAGTTCATAATAACAACAAATAAAATAAAAGGGGACTAAGAAGGACTCTTGCAGCAGAGTGTTAAGTGCCAACAGGCAAATGTACAGATGGTGCTAGAATTGTAAAAAAAATCAGCATTTTTGTAACCAATGTGGTAAGGATTGGATCAAGCAAGGTCAATCAGTGGATGCTAAATCTAGGTGGAAATTTTGGTAAGGAGCAGGGAATCTTGCATGGTTTCAAAATATCTTCCCATGGATTGCTTATTGGTTGCCAAAGGGAATATATTTATTATACAGTAGAAACTACTCAGCACCCTGACCAAGTGCTCTGACATCATAATGAGGGGCCAACGGACTGATTTCTGTGACTCAGATGTGATATCCTCAGAAAGACATATCGGCTATGTACTACTCTGGCCAACAGGGCATGATCTGAATTTAATCATGGAAGGGTATCAGAATGATCAGTATTCTGTTTTCTGGGTTTTTTTTTTTAAGGCAGGGGGGCTGAGATTTAAAATCTCAAAGTCGTAAAAAAGAAATAAAGGCTGTGGCAATGTTTCTAATTACGAGGCCAATGAGACACATCTAAGTGTAATACCTAACCTTAGTCTGGATCCTATGCCAGAAAAGAAAGAAAAAAATGCTATAAAGCTCATTCCTGGGTTGACTGACAAAAATGGAAAACAGGCAGTAGATTAGATAAAAATATCAATATTAATAGTGCTGATAACTGTGCTTACAGTTAAGTAAGAGAATATCCCTAATCTTAGAAAACACACTTTGAAGTAGTTAGGAATAAAGCAGCATGGTATTTGTTAATGTCTCAAAAATGGTTCAAACAAAAATAGGTAGATGGATAAAATCAAGCACGTGGGGTAAAATGTTAACCAAAGGTCAATCTGGGTACAGGTATTATCTGTATTGTTCTTATTTGTACAACTTCTCTGTGAGTTTGAAATTATTTCTAAATAAGTTAAAAATTAAAAAGAAAAAACTACTTTAAGCACTGAAATGTTTAAATTAACTATGTTCTATTAAAAAAAACTTTCTAGAATGAGGTACATTCCCCCTATAATAAGCAGAGCCTGGGACAACAGATTAACTCTTTTTAATCAGTCACTTAAACATCCTTTTACAGCACTGATAACAGAGCTGGTCTAAATGAAGGGCAGTGAACAGCATATAGACTCTAACTCCCGCTCCTGCACCAGATACTGCTATTCTGTCACAGCAATCTTTACCGCCAAACCCTGATCCATACTGAAGGCCCTCAACCCCCTTTTTTCTCTAATACTGTAGAAGCAGAATTTATCTGTTATTTTGGATTTAATATTTAGAACATATCACGACTCAAATATTGAAAAAGAATGAAAAATGAGAGGAAATACTGTACATAGTGTCTTATCCCAATCTTTGCCCACAGATACCTATGTCCCTCAAATGTAACTCATGTTATTAATTTCTTTTGTATCCTTCCAGTGAGAGTTTATGCATATGTAAGTAAATATAAATATATATGTGTGTTTATGTAGTGTGTGTGTGTGTGTGTGTGTGTGTGTGTGTGTGTGTGTGTATCTTTCTAAAAGACCATTCCAGGCAGACAAATGATGTGGGGTAGCACCTATTAATCATCTATTATTAATGGTGTGTGATACACTACTGGGGTAATTATGCTGATCTTATGTTTCTGGAATAACCTGGAATTCCTTTCTGAAGTTCTACTTACTATGTAATCATTTGATGCAATGTTTTTCAAACTGCAAGTTATGACCCATTAGTAGGTCATAAAATTAGAAAGTGAATTACACACAGTGTTCTCTTAAAAATTGAAACAGAATGTAACAGAAAACACTGGAATGCATATTGTTCTATAAAACTTTTCAGTTTCCTATTTGTATATGGGTAGTGCTCACAAAGTAAAAGGTATCTCTTCTCATCGGTCAGAGTCAAAAAAAGTTTAGCCATAACATGTTGCATTTTTCTACAAAATTAATATATAAACCAAAAGCTGAGTATTTGTTTTTCTAAGTAATTTTATCTTTCAAAAAAAATCTTCACTGTCCTTGTCAAAATTTTTTGGCATGTCATTAGCATTCAAATATACCCAATAATAACTTGAATTGTGATAGAACACAATAGGTGATTGGCTATCAAACATTCAGAATTCCCAAATGGCTAGCTAGGAGTTTATTTATCTTTCAAATATATACTAAAACTTTGAACCCCATTTTTTTGTGCTATGGCTGGTTTTTACTTTATTTCCACATTGATAATAGACACCTACATGACAGCTTTTCCAATGGTTTTTTTACTTACACTAAATTTAACTAGAAAATTATTTGTGAATGAAAGGAAACCGTTTTTAGGATTTTATGTCAGCAATTTCAGAGTCTTTATTTCAAAGTCTTTATTTTTTATAATTATGTTCCATGATACTCTCTGAAAAGGCTATAAAATGTTCTTCAATATTATGGCTTTTCATGACAAATATAGCCTTATAATGCTGTCTTTCTTTGAAATGCAAAGGCAGTTTTCCAAAAGTACATATGGCTCAGTCAATTTACTTTTGTTATCAAAAGACTTTCTGCTTTTTCAACTATCACTGGGACAAACTGAACGACTCCCACCATTTCACTGAGGACCACTCATATGAAAAAGTCTAAAGTCACCTGCAGGCATACCAGTTCGTACATGCTTTGGCCTGTTCATCAGGCTCATTTAGCTCACATTTGATAGACAACCTGGCCTTTGTCCTTCTGCCTTGAAGAGGAGGAAGAAGAGAAGTAGTAGTAATAGTAACAGCAGCAGGTACAGTTCACTGACCCCTTAGTATGAATGCGGAACCTTTGTTAAGTGCTTTGCCTATCTTACTTGATTTCATTTTCACAGTAAAGGGGCACTAGCTCCATTTTGCACATGAAGGAACAGAGGTTCAGGGAAGCTTAGTAACTTACCCAAGGTCACACACCATTAAGAAGCAGAGTGGCAATAAAGTTCTAACTCCAAAACTCACATTCTTTCCACAACACAACACCAACTTCCCTAGTGTATAGGTAAACCAATTTTGTCTTAATTCACCAACATTCTTCCACTTTTTCAAAATCACAAATCACTCTGTTTCTCCCTCCCTGGATTCCAGCCACACTAGTCCCATTCCAGATCCTTAAAGATACCAACTCACCCAGTTCCCCAACTCCCCATCTGAGAAGCTTCACAAATTCCATCTGCTTCATCTGCAATGCTCAGTTCTGACATGATCAATCCTACTCATCCTTCAGTTCTTAAAGTCCCTTCCAGAGCACACAATCTAAACTGAGTCCACCCCATGGTTACATCACATCAGCTGTTATTTTTCTTCATGTAACTAACCTAATTTGAAGTTATATACTTATGTGTTTATTTGTTGTAATGTTTCTTACTAATATCTATGTTCCATGAAAGAAGGATGATTTCTGTATGGTTCCACACTGTAATCTTAGCACCTAGAACACTTTGTGTTTAGCACGTAATAACTGTTCAATAAATTAGTTCATTCAGTTATACATGGTTTTGTTGAGTATATTGTGTACATATAATTATACAGCTGGCTGGTATCTAAAAGTATTTATGCAAACAGAAACCCAATAAATACTTGACTAAATGACAGAAGGGAGTATAACTTCATCTGATCTTCCTGTCAGTGTTCCCAGAAGGCTTTAGGGTTCAGGTTAGTGAGTTTCAATATCCCCTTACTTCAAAGAGGGGGCTGCTCTCAGGGACCACGTGGAATTACCTCTACAGTGAGTACCTCCAGATGGCTACAGAGTCTAACAGGTAAGTTTGTTCTCCTTTTATCACAGTCATTACTAACACACACACACACGCAGACAGTCCTCTTTTCTCCACCTTGAGTATAATTTTTAAATTGCCATTGTTTTCTTCCTATTTTCCTCTGATTTCCCTTTTTATTTCCCTTCCACTTTTGGGCTTTGGTACCACTATATTTGGTCTTTATAGCTATTGCCTTTCTTTGGGCCAAGGAATTATCTAACCTCATTACCCATTTGGTTTCTGCACATACACTAGGAACTTCTTGAGGGAGTTCCAGGATCAAGTGGGTCTTAAACAGGTAAGTCTGGCAGAAATTCAAACTCTAGGAAAAGGGGATTTATCCCTTTCAATCACTTCATTAAAAACTAATTCTTTTTTGTGTCCCAGCAAGCCATACCGCAAGTTATTCCTAAAGTTGAATAAAACAAATAGTTTTAAACATTAAACTTTCTCTGATATCTAATTTTATTTATGAACTGTCAAAGAAATTTTACACATCACCAATTAAACACTGGTATTATTAGTACAATTCTAGCCTGCTTCATCAAACTAAATAGTGAAAGCAATCATCTTCCCCACAGCAAATACTAGAGCACCTAGCATATGTATATAGCATTTTACTCCATAGGCTCTGAAGTCAAAGACT